CTTCACAATAGACATCTTAAAGTCATCATTTGATTCAGCCTAGCCCAATTCGTAAGCCCAAGAAGTTGCTGGTCATGCTGACATGAGGATGAGCTGGTTGGAAGCTTGGTCATGGTGAGCTTGGCATGAGCTATTGTAGCTGGTTGGAAGCTTGGTCATGGTGACATGAAGATGAGCTAGGGCTGCTGGTGGGATTTATTGGTGAAGTGCATCAACCAATTCATCTTTTATAATGCAAGTGTTGTATGCATTAGCCATATTGAATTCAGATTTATCACTCCCCTCTCCCTATAAATACCTCTTCAATTCCAGATTCAAGGTGTGCAAGCCTGGGATTCACAACCCCACAATTCAGCCATCCTTCACTCCATCCTCCCTCAAACACTTCCATCATTTTCCCAAACACAATCCCAAACATTCCAGCAATCAACCAAAAGCTCTAAACAGCCTCAATTCACCAAAACAACTCCAGCAAACCTCTCTTCCATTTTCCTACGAATTTCATCTTTCTTAGCCATCACCACTCACTCAAACTCATCCCAAATCACCTCCATATCCTTCATACTTCCGTCTAGACGTGAGAAATCTCTTGGAGAAGCATTAGACGTGGAGAAGCACTTGGAGAAGTCTTGGACACCACAAGAACTTCAGAAAAGGGGTTTTTTCTACTCTTATTGCATTCATTATGTTTTCTCATTTCTGTTCAAGTCTCTTTTCCATCATGAGTAACTAAATCCATAGCTAGGGTTTCAATGTAACCTGACAAGATAATTTCATGTTTTAAGTTAATGATTAACCTTTGTTGATTACTTTTAATTTTCTGGTCTCATTCACTTGTTCTTAGTTGAATCTTTATGCATGTTTAAATAACTGGCCACTATGAACACATGCATGTTGGTTATCTAGTTCAAGTTTACATAAACACCATATGACTCTTGAACCGATTAGTGAATGAGTGGGTAATGCATTTAGGACAAACACCATGTTCAAATGTTTACTTGGTTCCTTTGTGTTCTTCTTAAGCTTAATGGATTCAGATTCATAGCTTAGACTAAACACCTTAGCTAAGTTGTGTTTTCTGAGTACTTGATTAAAACCAAACACCATATGGATAATCATACATAAGAAAGAACGAACTCCAGAAATTGTAATCAACTTAGGTGATTGTTAACTTGTAGCTTGAAATTGGATTGTCATGGTGAAGTTGAACCCCTAGTGTTTGAGAACATTTCACAACATTCAATTTGCCAACAGAAACTAGGTAATTGCACACACAACATGCAATTGCATTCACAGTTTGCGAAAACCA